ACAAAGACGAAAGACAAATAAGAACAGCAAATCAAAGAATATTATATAGTCAAATGAATATATATACATACATAGCGCCATGTTCCGCATTTGTCAATTTGTTTAGGAAGCTACACAAATATTAATTAAAAGCAGCTGAGCGAAAAAAAAGAGAAATAAAAATTCAAATTCAAAAAAGAAAAAAAAATTGCACAAATTTTTGATAGACAAAAACAAATAAAAATGCGCCAAAACAAGAGCAAAACAACAAAAAAATTCAACTAATTGGTGACCCAATTCTTTTGTCAGGCAACTACTCTATAAACATTAAAATATTTTCAATAAAAAATGCTGTAAATACAAACAAATACATACATACCAAAATAGACAAACATTGATAAAAAGGCCTAAAAATTGCCAAAAAAAAAAAAAGAAGAGAGAAAACAACTAAATAAATAAAAGAAGCTGTCAATGAACTCTGCAAGCCCTTCACACACAGACTCAGGCACACTTACATAGGTAGACTTGGTCAACTTGTTTAATATCGGTCAATGTATTCAACCAAAAAAAAAAAAAAAATAATAAATAAATAAAAAAAATAAAATAAAGAATAAAAACGCGATAAGAATTTCAAAAATTTGTGCTTTTGATTGCGTGCGCTCAGCTGTGTGTGCGTGTGTGTGTGTGTATAGGTGTGTGTGTGTGCATGTCCATATGCAATGCCAAACTTTCACGTAATTTTTGCGCATTTTTTGTTTTGTCTTTAGCTTACATTCTCTCTGTCTCTGTCTCTCTCTCTCTCACTCTCTCACTCGCTCTCTTTCTCTCTCACTCTGTATCTCTCTGTGTTTTGTGTATGCGTGCGTGCGAATTATATTATTTTCGCCGTCTGTTTTGCTGTTGTGAAGAGTCAACAACCTTTGGCGTATACAAGAAGCGCCAGACTTACGGCTCAGCTCCCCGCACTCTCTTGCAGTGGCTCAATGCCAGACCTACGCTATGCTCACCTCCAACTCCCTTCCTCAACACGCCCGCCCGCCCGCCATCTCCATATATCTTCCACTTCCTCTCGCTCTGTCTCCCTCTCTCTCTCTTTCTCTCTCGCTCTCTCTCTCTCTTTCGCTCTGTTTCGCTCAAGCTCAGCTTAGTTGCCCATTAAGCATAGTAGCTCCCTTTAACAACAACTAGAAAGCTGTTTGCCTTAGTGGCCTTAATCAACATTCAACATCAGTTGTAGCTCACTTATTGTTGCTGTTGCTGTTGTTGTTGTTGTTGTTGTTTCCTCTCATTTGTTAATTACGTAAATTATAAAGTTTTTTGTTTGGTTATTATATAGCTGGGCATTATAGTGTCATGTTTGTTTTTGAAATTGATATGCTTCCCTATGGTACATTTTTTCATAGATTATATAAGCTTGATGAGACCTCTTTAAATTGTAATCAAATATTCATTTTTAATGTACGTACCGTAAAATATATGTTATTATACGATTTTTTTTTTAAAGAAGTATCGCAAATCTCTTGATTTAAAGAATTGTTTATGAATAAATAAATGTAGTTATAAATGTAAATAATTTCGAGTTTATTATGCATGTTTTAAAGCTTATTTTGTTTTGATTTTTAGTTTTTATTCGTTTTTTATGTGAGAGGGAAGTCGGGGTTGTGGAAGCTGTCATCTCCTCATCGCTTTCGCTGGATGGACGCTCTAATGACGTCTATCAAATAGAAATTGAATGCTTTAAGTTTATGTTGTTTAGCCTGCTTACTTTCCAAAAAGGGGCGTGGCTACTAGATATGCCATATTTATATGGCATGCCCAACTAACGATCCAATCCTCTCTCATTTATCAAGTTTCGTCAATTTAGCAGGAATATTTCGAATAGGAGCTCAATTGCAAACCCCTCGAAGGTCGACGCTCGGGCGCTCGATAACCTTGCGAATTTGCTGGCTGAGCTCTTTTTCTTTAGCATTGGCACACTCATCATGAAATTCCTCGTGCTGACCCACTAAACTGGAACGTGGCTCAGGTGGCACGCCTCGCCCCAAAAATAACTGCAAAGTATGCACTTTTTTCCACTGCTTTTTCATGCTAGAACAAACAACAACAACGATCAGTTAAGAACGCTGACAAACACGTGACAGCTTGGAAAGAAAACAAAACGAAAACAAAAACACGAAAATAGAAAAATAAATATATATTTTTTGGTAATAAATTTACTTGGCCTTAAAAACTCCATTGGTGCTTCGTTTTTTCTCTCAGTATTTTACTTTCTTTCAATGTAATCGACATTTCTCGAACGACCATTGAAATTTGCTAAGCTCCGACTGAGCGGGGCTATGTGCTGGGGCTCACGTAGGCGGCTTTAAAATGGACTTCCCTCCAAGTCTATGACTGTATGTTTATGGACGACTTAACAGTGGGGGAAGTCCATATAAGTAATTGTCAACATTATAAAGAACTAATTATTCAAATCTTTTACGATCTTACATACGATCTACGGATCTGGCAAACAATCAAATTTGTTCAAGGTCATTGGCTGGACTGAGGTTGTTTGGGAACGTTTAAGAAAAATTGTTTCGTTTCCATTTATTTCACTTAGATATATGACATGTACTCACTCTCTATCTTGAGTTACAAACCATGAAGAAATCTAAATAAGTAGTCGCCGTATTACTTATGATTGGAAATGAACTTCGTGCTGGAGCCATTACACTCACTTGATGTATTTGACATTATAACAATAATTGATAAGATCTTGGGGATAAGAACTGTACTTAGCCTGCTTAGAATGTCATATATGTTTGTTTGACTGTGCTGATTGTTCAGGCACATATCAGACATTTCAGACCCGGACATTGCAATTGTTGTTATGCATGTATATAGGCTGACTTCTAGGCGGACTATGGCAGATGGCTGGACAGAGGGAGAGAAAGGGTCCGAGGTATAGAGGTATAGGCATAGCTGCGTATTCATCAGATACTTTGCATGCGCATGCAACATGTATGTACATGTGTGTGTGTGTGTGTGTGATTGTGCGTGTGTGTACGTGCGTGTATGCTTTGTTTGACGCTGTTGTCTCTGGCTGACTGCATTGACCCCCACTTGGGGCCTGTGCCTGACGTTGCTTTTGTTGTTGTTCTTGTTGCTGGTGTTGTTGCTGTTGTTGTTGTTATAGTTGTTGTTGGTATTGCCGTCTCATACACACGCACATTGCGGTTCATTGCACTCTCTATTTACTTTGGCTTCCCATTTCGAGCATTTACATTGGCTTTTTGTTGTTGTAGAATTTTAAACATTCGATTCAATTTTTGGAATGGCTCTACGCTCAAGAGGATGCCATTGATGTTGATCTGTTATACATATTTAAACAATAAATTTGTTACTGAGGATCATATCTGGGTGCTAAAGGGATGAAATCTCAAGTTTTTATAGTATGCAAATATGTTGTAAAAAGGTTAATATGGAAAGTGTTACACATACATATACACTCAATATAAGAGAGAAACCAGAGCTTCTATATTCATTTTCCGTACAGGCTAAAAATCTGTAGATAGAAGAGGGGCGAGATAATCAGAAAGGCTCGCCGAGTGTAGAAGAAAATAAAACATATTCAAATTAATTTGATAGGTAGAAAAAAAAAAACAGCGCACACAAACAACAACAACCACAACAGGAGCAAAAGAGTCAGCCAGAGCTAAAGGGAGAAGGGGCGAGAAGAAGAGAACAGAGGCTATTGACTCGCTACGGCACGGCTGGGCAGGCATTGGTATTGGTGCATGTTGGAGGAGTACGAAACAGAAGCATTGACCGAGCGTTGAGCCAAAAGGAAAACAGAGAGAACACACAGAGTGCGTGCGTACGTGTGGGAGAGCGACCGAGAGCGAGAGTGGGCGTAAGAGAGCGCGAGCGTGTGATAATGCGAGTCGAGGCGAGTCGAGGCGATGCGACGCGTTCGTTGCTCGTCGCACACACATGTGATATCGGCGATAACAGTTGACAGTGGAGAATCGACCGTTGTGCTGCTATTGTGTTGCTGCTCTCCACATAAAGAAGCCAACCAACACACACACACACACACACGCACACGCACACGCACACATATACGGCGCACACACAGATTTTACTTTTGCTTGGGGAGGGGTGCATTGACTTTTGTTTCTTTATACCCTACAGCCGTGGAGCGCATGAAAGGGGTATAATAAAGCTGTAAACATGTTTGATAACAATTGTTGAATATATACTATATTGTATTTTTGTAACAAAGCGAACTGTATGTGATAGGAATGACTGTGATACAAGGGGAATCGAAGAAAGATTTTTGATAATATTAATAGAATAAATTAAGATAATTTTTTATTTTTTTTATTTATTACTTCTCTTATTATTTATGGTTTATATATTAAATAATTATGCTTTTAATTTGCATATATATATTCGTTGATTTTTTACTGCCTACTTTTGGGCCACTTGCCATTCGACCCTTGATTACAGGGTATATGAAAGCAAGCGCACTTTAAATTTGATTCATTTTTATAAATTTTCTGTGCATTGCTGATTTTTTTCTTAATTTATTTGCAGAGTTTGTTAAACTTTCATCATATTTTGTAACATATATACAAGATGAATAAACACCAGAAAACTCTGATAAGCTTTAGATGGTTCTTTTATGACGGAAATTATTTTCGACATGTGTGCATATCATATAATATATATATATATATATATATTGAATATGGGGTCTATGATATTCCTTCTACTTGAATGCATCTATTATTTTTATGCATTCTAATCTTGAAATTTGTAATATGGAATTTAGTATAGTACAATAAAAAAATAATAATATTTTAAAAACATAAGAAAATAAGTATAATAAATAACGAATAATAAAATAAGTACTATTAATACATAATTAAACAAAAAACTACAAAATATAATTTCTAATCGTATATCGTATAGTATTAATCTCAAATATAACTAAACATCAACTTATTTGGCTTTTTCCTCTTCTTACCTCTTTGCAGTGCGGCTCAGGCGCCTTCGTTGACGTTTCCTTTCATAAATGCTACCAAGCAACAGCAGCAACAACTTCCTACTGCGCAGCAGCAACAAGTACAGCAACAATTGCAACAGCAACAGCAACAACAACCAACAATACAGTTAACATTTCAGAACTTAAATGTGCTGCACAACGATCGCAAAATTCTTTCCGATGTGAGTGGATTAGTCAGGTAACAACAACAACAACAACAAAAACAGAATAAACAAACATGTCAACAAACAACAACAAATATTAAGCTACTGAATCTGTGAGAAGACTAATAACTCTCTTCATTTGCTCTCTCTCTTGCGCTCTGTAGTCCTGGCGAGGTACTGGCTATTATGGGTCCTTCGGGCAGCGGCAAGACGACGCTGCTCGACTGCCTCAGCGGGCAGCGGCACTTTGACAGTGGCAGCGTCTACCTGAATCGCGAGCCCCTTTCCAAACGTTGGCGTCGCAAAATTGGCTACGTGCTGCAGGAGGAGATCTTCTTCACGCAGCTAACGTTGCGCGAGACCGTCATGTATACGGCGATGCTGCGTCTGCCGGAGAAGATGGCGCGCGTGGAGAAGCTGCGGCTGGTCGATCACATATTGGAGACGCTGGAACTCACCTGCTGTCAGCAGACCAAGTTTGGCGATTACCTCAATCGTGGTCTGTCGGGGGGCGAGAAGAAGCGTGCGAATATCGCATGCGAACTGCTGACCAATCCGCTTCTAATGCTGCTTGATGTGAGTAAAAGTGAGAGTGGGAGATACGATATAGGAAGCGATTCGTATAAAGTGAGAGATAATTGAGTACAGATATCGATATATTTGATGTAGATGAGTTGTAGAGTTACGATTTACAATACGAGTGATAGTGAAAAGCCATAATATACAATACGATATTGCGAAAGGGAAAATTTGCATACGATATTCGATAATAAGTACATACATATATAAAGATTTACGTTAATAGCACATTCAATTAATGAAACTCTTCCCTCTTTTCACCCTTGTTGCCATTTCAAGGAGCCCACCTCCGGGCTGGACAGCCACTCGGCCATATCGTTGATGAAGGTGCTGAAGCGCTACGCGCAGCTGGAGCAGAAGACAATTGTGATAAGCGTGCATCAGCCGTCGTCGCAGATGTTTCACATGTTCGACAAGCTGCTGCTGCTGCATCAAGGACGAACTGCGTACTTTGGCGAGGTGAACAATATCTACAGGCACTTTGAGGACATTGGGGTGACCATCAAGGCGCACTACAATCCCGCGGACTTTGTGTGTAAGTACACAATTGACGGTAGAGATCTCTTCGGGCTAACTTAGTTCTTGTCATGCAGTGGAGCAGCTGAAGTCGCATCCGGATATACGCGAAAAGCTGTTCATCGCTGCCAGGGAGTCGCATGGCAACTACTTGAATCGCAACTGCATCAGCAATCCGGACAAGTCGAAGCAGCAGCAGGACACCATACTGATCAACGACATCATCAACAACTACTACAATCAACGACACCATCAGCCTCATGACCTTCATCACAATCACAATCATCATCAGTATCACACGGCGAACGGGGTCTGCGAGGCCGATGAGGAGGCTGCTCAGCACCTGGTTTGGTCCGGCGCCGATTCGCAATCAAATTTCAGTTCCTGTGCCTCCAGCGACTGCCAATCGTACCGCGTGGGCAAGGGCTCCGTTAACGATGACGACTGGCTCTCGTATCCAACACGTTTTCACACCCAATTCAGCGTCCTCTCGAGTCGCAATTTCAAAGAGGCCAAGCCGCGCATGTTGTCCAAGTTGAATTGGTTCCAAACAATCGGCTTGGCTCTGATGGCAGGCGCCATTTGGTTCCAGCTGCCGCGCACCGAGGAGTTCCTTCACGATCTGCAGGGCTGGATGTTCTTCTCGCAAACCTATTGGATGCTCTTTGCGCTCTTCGGTGCGCTCAATTCATGTGAGTGTTAGATGCAGAAGGAGAGAGAGAGAGAGAGAGAGTGAAGGAAGATAGATAGTAGCCTCAAGTACTTAATATTCCATTAAAGAGTTCTTATTGTTAGTTGTTAAGGCTTCTGCTTAAAAATCAATTTAATAATCCAAATTATTGTTAACTTTTCTAGTTCCTTCGGAACGTGAGGTGATCAGCAAGGAGCGCCGCTCGGGCGCGTATCGGCTCTCTGCCTACTACCTGGCCAAAATGTGCGCGGAGCTGCCTTTGGTGATAACGCTGCCGACTGTCTACCTCATGATAAGCTATCCCATGCTGGGCTGCAGCAGGTAAGCTGGTGTGAGTGATTAAGCGATTTCAGATTAACTTAAACTTGGTTTCCTCTGTACAGCTTGAAGCTCTTCTTTCTGATGCTCATCTTTTTGCTGTTGAATACGATTGTGGCGCAGAGCGTTGGCTTCTTCATTGGCGCCTGCTGCATGGACATGAATGTGAGCATCACGCTGAGCGCGCTCTACACGCTTGCCACACAGCTCTTCGGCGGCTATTTGTCGTCGCGCATTCCGGAAGGTCTCAGCTGGATACGTTACACGTCGATGATACACTATGCATACCAGAATATGCAGATTCTCGAGTTTCGCGAGGGACCGGCTATTAGGTAAGCGAAATCTCACTCAATTTCGATTGTTCATTTGTAATCGATTAACATATTTGAATGTCAATTGCAGCTGCGGATCGCCGAGCAGCTATGAGATATGCAAACAGCAGACAACAGAATTCATTCCATATGAGGAAATACTCAAAGCACAAAATTCAACATCTCCGCTCTGGCTGAATACGCTAATATTGATGATGTTCTTTCTGGTATTTCGGGGACTGGGCTATGCGGTATTACGCTATCTCCGCTGTCCACAAAAGTCGTGATATATATAGCTGACAACGAACCAGTGATACGTAATGATTAGTGTGTAGCCTTCTAAAAATCCTATAAATCTAAAAAACAAGAAACCGAGAAAAAAACACTATCCACAAAATGTTGAACAAATTACAAACGTGCGCCAATTGTTGTGATTCAATATTAAAGCCACATTTAGCTTATATACTTCTTTTATGTATATATATACATATCTAAATATTTATGTATTTGGCAAACGGCAGGCGCTATATCCAAAATTTGTTGTTTGTTGCATTTTTGTAAACAGCAATTTTTGTTTTTGTTTTATGCATTTTAATTGTTAGCCATTTACCTTAAATCTTATTATTATCCAATTATTATTATTATCATAGTTATTATAATTATTATGTTGCTGCTAAAAGGAAAAAAATATTTGAGAATTTTGTTTTAATTTACGTTTTAAATCCAAAATTAATACAATTTAAAGAGCCCATATAATATAATTCTATATAACTATGTATACATAATTATTATCTACTATGTCTATATATACATTATCTATATTCTAGAAATTTTTGTAGATTTTTTGCAAATTTTTTCAATTGGGAAAAAACACTGTGATTTAGTATGCTAGTTTTTTAATTAGTTTTAAGTTGGCTGCCGAGAAAACCATGTAAAACAAGCAACCAACTGTAATGTTGCATTATGTTTACATTAACTAATTATATGTAATTAAATCTATTTAAAATATCATACATGAAAATATGCCGAAAAGTAACGTACGCATTTGAAATTATTTGAATGGCGAGTGACGATAATTTGAGCAATCGGATTGACAGATTCAAGAATGGCGATTGAACGAAGTTGCCTTTAGCAGGCGTTTATGTCTTTTCTTCAATTGCATTTAAGTCTGCCTTTGCTGAATATAGAGCATGCCATATGGCCAGGCGGTTCACACAAATCAAAGAGGAATTATTTACACACCTTTCTGTGACAAACAACTTTTATTGTATACTTTTGCAACACGCAGCTCCATTTTTAAATTCGTAGTAATCGTCATGGCTGTCCAATCGACAATTGTTTTCAGCCCTGGCAAAGCAGACGACTCAACGAAATAGACAACAGCGAGCTTTTGTATGTTTAATTTAAGTGACATAGCAGCCAGCTTTTGTTGAGCGCATGCTTTCTATGCATGTGTAGATGTGTGAGCAGAATCAAGAATACTTACAGCAGGCAACTTAACGAAGAATTATTTGGCGCGCCGGTTTGCTGTTGTTTAAATAATTTATACTAACTAAACTGCACTCTCAGTTTATTTGACGTAAGTAATTAACGGTCGTGCGGCTTTATGTGAGTACAACAGTGGATACTTAAATTTTCATAGCAGACAGCTTCTGTAGTGTTTTGTGTCTTGTGTCAAAATCAACGGACTTTATTGCTGGTCAATCCTCGACCATAGATTTGCCCTTAGTTTCTTTCAAGAATAACGAAAAACATACAAAACAAACAGCTGTTATACATGCGCAAGACCACATGGTAGCTGGCAGACCCCAGTGTTCCATGCACAGAGGGAAAATATTAAGCATCAGGAACACCAGCGAGCTGCAGACAACAATTGCCATAGACGTTGCCCGAGCGCGTATCTGAAAGTAACCATTTACACACATATAGCATTTTGATTGATAGAGTGAAACTCACCTTCATTGGAAACAATTCGACAATCAGTACAAAAATGCAGCTTATCAAACCAATGTTGCCCAGAAATATGTCGAGCGACATTAGGGCGACTGGCACCCAGCTCCACCCGCTCAGGTCGTAAATGCTGGTAAAGTGTGTGAAGAGGCCAAAGGCTGTTAAGCTCATAGCCACACCCGCCGATGAGACTTGCATCAGTATTTTGCGTCCACAGACGTCGCACAGGAGTGTGCTCACGTAGGCGCCCAAAATTTGAACTACCCCAATAATAATCGAGCTGGTATTTGGGTCCATGCTGCTGCCCGACTTTGCAAATATATCCGACATATAGTTGACCATTGTGAATAGGCCGCTGAACTGATTGGCAATGACTATTACCCCCGCCATGGCGTAGCCCTTGATGGCGACAGGTGTAACTGAATTAGTAATATTTGTATGAATTATCAAGGAATAGATGGGTTACATTTTCTACTACTCACAAAAGTCCCTCAGGCGGACATTGTCGGGCATATCATCCTCGTTGGTTAGCTTCATTTTTATATTCTCGAATTCCAGCGTAGCCAACGCTTGCTTATCTAAGCTGTCGCTATCTTTAATGTTCTTATAGTATCTAAATGATTTTTCAGCTGCTGCAAACCTTTGCTCGCGTATGAGCTGCATCGGAGAGTCTCGAATAAACAGCAAAATGAGGGCGAAGTAGCTCAGGGGACAAAGGAGGACCACAAACGGTATTGTGTAATACGCCAAATGTGTACCGATTATATAGCCCAGAAGTATACCAAAATTCACAGAGAGCATTACCATGGAAGCCAACGTTCCGCGAATGCTGTGAACACAGAGTTAAAGCATATTTAATTGGAAACCGACTCACATTCACGAGGGACTTTCTTTGTGTTGTGTGACTTCAAAGTTCTTAGAATTTTAATGTGACTTGCATGTGTTACATGCAAGAATTCGCGAGTGCACTGCTGACTGCGCAGTAGACACACTTATGGAGTAAAGACCCGAGCTTTATTAACTATGTGAAATTAATTCTTGGGTAACTTTACTTTCCACTAGATTTTCATAAGAAAACGTTTCGAGCGAGAGATTATGTCTAAAGTTCTTTTTTTTTTTTTTTGCTTTTTACACATTCAGGAATAAAATGCAAAATATTTGAAATTGTGCATTCATCACATGAGTCTATATCTATTATTATTGATAATATGGATATGAGATTAGAGAGAGATTATCACAATGCGGGCGATCAGATCTGGTAGACAGAGTCTGAATCAACTTGGCCCACGACTTACTTTACAGTGAAGAACTTTTCTTCCACAAATCTTACTTACTTAGCATCTGAAATTTCACTGAGAAATATGGGATGTATTATATAGATGCCTCCACCCGTAATGCCAGCTAAGAAACGGCCCACAATTAGAAACTTGACGCTCTGGGCAAAGTAGACCAAAAACCAAAGACACTGGGAAAACAAATATTCGTAGACAATTGCGAGTGTGCATTGACAAATTATAATAATTATTTTACTCTATTTTCGTTTGCATACCGAATGTGGCACAGCTATTAACAACAAACAGAGTCTACTTCCGATGCGATTAATTAAGAGTCCACATATTATATTGCCCGTCACTGAGCCCAGCCCCAAGGCCGAGCCGACCCAGGAAACCTCATTGACATCCACTGAAAATTGAAGCGGAGAGTCCGTCGACTGAAGTTTGCGCAATGTGGGCGAGAGCCAGCCGATACCCATGCCATGTGATATGCATATTAGATTAACTGCAAAGCCATACGGATAAAGATCTCTTTGCGCAGTTCTATAGATCCCCCGATATCACTCACTGAGCACCGTGGCGAGCAATTGATGGCGATTCCGTTGATTGAGCAAGCAATTGGCCCGCTGAAACAATTGCGCAAACATCTCTCCCACTCTCTGGATGCTTCAGTCTGTGCCAGAGGAAAGTCAATTTGCTACTGAACTCGCGTCTATAAAGAAAATTCATTCACATACAATCTTTTATGGATCGGGGCATCGTAAAGATAAAGAGAAAGAGAGAATAACAATCGTAATCAAGTGAGCTGCTATTTATACATCGGATGAATTTGAATCACATTTAAATGGTGAATGATGATGCTCGGTTGTCCATTTATTTCGACGGACTAGATGGTGCTATAAAGCGGGATTCGAAGCCAGACAGTTCTATGGAGACAGACATAGTTAAAAGACAAGAAACATCCGATAATTAAACTTTCGGAGGCTGCCTTCAAGGTGTAAGGAATAGATAGAGAGAGGGAGAGATAAAATTAGCAAGTAGGGTCAGCATCGATGGGGGTCTTTTCTCCCTCTTTGCCTAACTATAATCCTTAAGTCAACATCACAAGGCAGCTTATTTTTTAGCATTTATTTCATTTTTCTGCACTAAATTATCTTAGTATCGGTCTTATCTTTATCTTAGGTACTAAATAAATGCTAATCGCTGTAGCAGAGCGTCCGCCTCAATCTTCGAGCATAGACTTGCCCTTGGTTTCCTTCAGGAACAGAATAAAGTAAACAAAACCAAATGCTGTGATGCCCGCACAAGACCACATCGTCACCGATATACCCCATTGATCCAAGCATATAGGTAAAGTCTTTAGTGCCAAAAACACGAACATGCTGCAAGCAACGATTGCACTCGACGCAGCTTTAGAGCGTATCTGAAAAGCCAAGAGATAATATAGCCATATAACAAAAACAACAAGAATTCTGACCTTCAGCGGAAACACCTCAACGAGTGCCACAAAGAAGCAGCCAATGAGTCCTACATTGCCCAGAAAGATGTACGAAGACATGAACAGCAGTGGGACCCAGCTCCATTCACTCAGATCGTACCACTGGGCGTAGTAGCTGTACAGACCAAAGGAAGTCAAACTGATAGCCACCCCAGCTGAGGAGACAATCAGCAGGATTCGTCGACCCCAGATATCGCAGAGAAGCGTTGTCGTGTATGAGCCCAATATCTGAACTATGCCAATCACAATGGTACAAGTATCTGGATCCATAGTGCTGCCCGATAGGGCAAATATGTCCGACATATAGTTGATCATCGCAAAAAGTCCACTAAATTGATTCACAATAACTAGCACAATGGCTGAACCATAAGCTCTGATGGCAGGTCGAGTTACTAGAGAATTGGATTAATGAGGGATCTATGAGTTGTGACTGATCCGATATCATATATCTGATATAAAGGAAATACTTACGGAAGTCCTTGATGGTGACTCTATCCAAGTTCTTATCGCTCTGTGTCAATGCCTCCTTCATAGCCTCGAATTCGTACATTTCGCTCATCTGACTGTCTTCTCTGATGTTCTTGTAGTATCTGAAGGACTGCTCAGCTTCCGAGTACTTTCCCTTGCGAATGAGGTGCATGGGAGACTCGCGTATGAAGAAGAGATTGGAAATGAAGTAACTAATGGGTAATAGGAGCACTACGAACGGAATTATGTGGTAGGCCAGATGGGTGGTCAGTATGTAGCCCAGGAGTACTCCAACGTTTACAGAGAGCATTACCATAGACCCGAAAGTCCCTCGGATTCTAGAAGAAAGCAGAAAAGATAAAGATGAGATCAAGATAAAGGTAGTCACAAACAATTGTAATCTAACACTCACTTGGCATCAGAGATTTCACTCAGGAATATCGGATGTACGATGTACATGCTACCACTAGAGATACCGGCCAGGAAGCGTCCGATGAACAGATACTCCGCGCTCTTAGCAAAGTAGACAAGGATCCACAGGCACTAAATTAAACAATCTTTATACAAAGATACCATAATATTACCTGCACTGATTACTTACCGAGTGTGGGAAGGCTATGAAGAGCAGGCTGAGGCGACTGCCGAGCCGAGAATGAAGCAGTCCCATCAGAATGTTGCCCACCACGGCGCCTAGGCCCAGGGCGGAGCCCACCCAGGAGATTTCCGAGATGCTCAGCGAGAAGTCGAGGGGCGAATCAACGGATTGTATCTTACGTAATGTGGGCGACAGCCAGCCGACGCCAATGCCATGTGCAATGCATATCAGGTTTACTGGAAACGGGCTTTACACTTGTCAAATATTAACTTAAGAGATTTATCTTTGCACTCACTGAACAGCGTGGACAGAAATTGATAGCGATTTCTGCGGTGCAGCACACAATTTGGGCTTTGCAATAGTTTTGCAAACATTTTTCAGATCAGACTTGGTCAAGGCGCATTTGAATACTGAATCGCAGGGCTCGGTTCCCTTTGATTTTAATTGGTTCGGGTCTGTAGTATGTGGACTTGAGTTGCTATAAAGATTAAAGCTGTGCATGCAAATATATAAGCTAGACACATGGGATTGTAAAACATTATATACTAAACTGATTTTGTGCTCAAATAACGCTTCTTTCTATTCCTTTATTTTAGAGAGAATTTGTTCTACCAAACAGCGCAAAATCTCTTAAAATATTTCGAGAGAAAGGTATCTGTTTTTCCCTGCATTTGTCAAACCTTCAGTAGATGTGGATGTAGAAATTGGGTCAGTCTGAAGAGAAGGTCAGTTAGCGAATTTCATAAATATAAGGAATTGACTCTAAGAATGTGGAACACCTTACCAAAGTCCCAAGTTTATTTAATTATGTGACTGTAAAGAGAAGATACAGTTTTAGCCGTTTCACATTTCATTTATTTATGTTATTTATAGTCCAACCCCTTAGTTTTGAAAATGCCTATTGACATTTTATATTAGCTCTAGTATTACTCATATATTATCTGCGACTTTACTACGATATTGCCATTGTTTCAATCCTGGATTCCCGCTTCAGTCCTCCAGCATAGATTTGCCCTTGGTTTCCTTTAGATAGAACATAAAGTAAAAGAATCCAAATGCAGAGATACCCGCACAGGACCACATTGTCAGCGGTACACCCCATTGATCCATACAAACGGGAAAAACTTTGAGGATGAAAAAAAAGAAGATGCCGCAGACGACAAGTGCAGCCGATGTTGCTTTGGTGCGTATCTGAAAAGCATTGAAATCGAGTGAAAATATTCCCATTTTCAAAAGATGTTACATACTTTAAGTGGAAATATCTCGACAATCACGACAAAGTAGCAGCCCGTGAGTCCGATGTTGCCCAGATAGATATTCAGCGACATGAATAGCAGTGGAGCCCAGTTCCATTGACTTAAGTCGTGCGACTGTGCGTAGTAGCTGAATAGGCCGAAGACTGTCAGACTGACAGCTACTCCGGCTGAGGAGACGATCAACAGGATTCGTCGACCCCAGATATCGCAGAGAAGCGTTGTCGTATACGTGCCCAAAATCTGAACAATCCCTATGACAATGGTGCAGGTATCAGGGTCCATAGTGCTGCCCGACTGAGCAAATATGTCCGACATATAGCTGATCATGGCAAGTAGACCACTACATTGACTCACAAAAGTCAGCACAGCGGCCGAACCATAAGCTTTCAAGGCAGGTCGTGTTACTAACGAGAGTTTGATATGAGATTTAAGAGTAAGAGGTATATTGTTTAACTCACAGAAGTCCTTGATGGTGACCCTATCCAAGGTCTTTTCGCTCTGTGTCAATGCCTCCTTCATAGCCTCGAATTCGTGCATTTCGCTCATCTGACTGTCTTCTCTGATGTTCTTGTAGTATTTGAAAGATTTCTCAGCCTCTGAGTACTTTCCCTTGCGAATGAGGTGCATGGGAGACTCGCGTATGAAGAAGAGATTGGAAATGACGTAACTTATGGGCAATAGGAGCACTACGAACGGAATTATGTGGTAGGCCAGATGGGTTCCCAGTATGTAGCCCAGGAGTACTCCAACGTTTACAGAGAGCAGTACCATAGACCCGAAAGTGCCTCGAATTCTGAAATGGTTTAAGTGACTGAATTTGATTAATTAATTCCTTTAGCTTAGTTACTTACTTAGAGTCAGAAATTTCGCTAAGGAATATGGGATGGACAACGTATAGGCTACCACTGGAAATGCCAGCCAGGAAACGTCCGATGAACAGATACTCCGCGCTCTTAGCAAAGTAGACAAGGATCCACAGGCACTAAATTAAACAATCTTTATACAAAGATACCATAATATTACCTGCACTGATTACTTACCGAGTGTGGGAAGGCTATGAAGAGCAGGCTGAGGCGACTGCCGAGCCGAGAATGAAGCAGTCCCATCAGAATGTTGCCCACCACGGCGCCTAGGCCCAGGGCGGAGCCCACCCAGGAGATTTCCGAGATGCTCAGCGAGAAGTCGAGGGGCGAATCAACGGATTGTATCTTACGTAATGTGGGCGACAGCCAGCCGACGCCAATGCCATGTGCAATGCATATTAGGTTTACTAGAAGTGGGCAATTGTTATTTCTATTGGGGATAGGGATGTCTCTATAAGCACTCACTTAAAAGCGTGGTTAGAAATTGATAGCGATTTCTGCGGTTCAATAAACAATTCGGGCTTTCAAGTAGTTTCAGCAGCATTTTGAAGTTAAATTTGATTTTCCGATTCAGGTGAGTTTTAGTTGCTGCACTGGTCGAGTGTTATTAAAATACTGAATAGTGAAACTTGCTTCTCATTGAGCTCAACAGGTTGCGGCTGCTGTGTTTGGCCAATAGCTGTAGCAAAGAGTAGGCCTGCTGGACAGCTGTCATGCAGCGGTTAGATGGAATTTGTTTTTGTTTTTGAATAGCTCAGCAGAAGTTACTCACCTCTACAAGGCTAAGCTGAATAAGCTGAACTTTGATAGAGAGAGAGGGGAACAGGGAGATTGAGTGAGAGAGAGGGAGAAATTTCCTTATTTGAAGATAAGTTAAAGGACAAACAAGCATGAAGAGTGTTCATTAGCAAGTGGCTTGAGTATTACTACGGCTTTATATTTAATTAACATTTTTTAATATCAACATTTAGCCTAGGAGTGGCATTACTTAAGTCCAGCTCAAAATATAATATTAAATTCTTTCAATGATCCAGCATTGATTTGCCTTTAGTCTCTTTGAGAAAGCACAGAATAAGTATAAAGCCAACAAATGCAACCAGGCTGCAGCTCCACATGGTGATCGATATGCCCCAATATTCCATGCTGACGGGAAAGATCTTCAGTGACAGAAAAACCGTGCTGCTCAGCAAGATAATGCATCCAGAAACAGCCACCGAGCGAATCTAAAAATATGAATTATTATCAGAGATCTCCTCTTGGATTTTGAATATGGACGTACTTTGCCTGGCATTAGTTCGACCAACACCACAAAGAGGACTCCCACCAGACCAATATTACAAAGGAACACGTCCAAGGATAACAGAAGAAGAGGCATCCAGCCAACAGAGGAGAGATCGTAGCGCTCTGCGAAGTAGGTGAAGGATCCGAAAGCTGCCAGGCATATGCCACAGCCCAGACAGGAAATCAAGAGCAATATCTTGCGACCAAATCGATCGCATAATAAAGTCGTTGTATAGGTGCCCACGATCTGGACGACACCGATGATGATCGTGCATATGCCTATGTCCAAGGTGGTGTGTGAGAGGGTAAAAACATCCGACATGTACGAAGCGAAGCAGAAGGTGCCCGTAAATTGATTCGTGAATATCAGCAAAATAGCCATAGAATAGGCTTTCAAGGCAGGTCGCGTCACTAGAAAAAGAGAGCAGTCTGAATTAAGAAAGAATTGTAGGCCGGACTATTGGGTACTTACAGAAGTCCTTGTAATTGAAGGCGTTCACACTCAACGCCCTCTCCTTGGTCAGTTTGAGCTTCATTTCTTCGAACTCCAGCATTGAGCTCTTGTCGTCATCACTAATATTTTTATAGTATCGAAAGGACTTTTCAGCAGCTCCGAATTTGCCCTTTTTGATCAAATGAAACGGCGTTTCAGGGAGAAAGAGATTGCTAATAAAATAACAAACGGGCAGGGGCAAGACAAAAATGGGGGCCACATAGTAGTCAACATTTGTGGATAAGATATAGCCCGTCAGAATGCCCATGTTAACAGAGAGCATGACCATAGAGGAAAGGCGTCCGCGAATCCTAGAGTATATAGAAATAGGTACAAGTATATACATATGTATATGTATAGGGCAAGCTAGAGAGTCTTTTATGTGGCCTTACTTGGCATCTGATATTTCGCTAATGAATATGGGGAGAACTATATAGCCTGCTCCACCCGTGACGCCGGCCAAAAGACGCGCAAGATACAAATACTCCACGCTCTGAGCGAAGTAGGACAACAGCCAGAAACACTATAGGAAAATTGAGTTACTTAATGCTAAGTATGTGAGGACTACTCACTCGACTACTCACTACATATGGTACTGTTAGAGCTAGTATGACAGGCTTTCGCCCTATACGATCCTGTAGTAGTCCAGCTAACAAGTTTCCAACGACGCTACCAATGCCCAACAGAGACCCTATCCAGGACACCTCCTCCACCAGCACCTCAAAGCTGAGAGGTGATCCGGGAGTCTGCAAGGCCCGCATCACAGGCGACAACCAACCGATGCCTATGCCATGAGCAAAAGTCGAGATGTTCACTGGAGAAGGGAAGAGCAAATTCAAGTCCTCCCAGTACCAAGCTGTCGTTGTGCGCCTAGCTCACCTACAAACGTGGCCAGGAACTGATGACGGTTTCTGCGGCTCAGCAGACTCTCCCCAAACTCAGGTCCCGTTGTCAACTTCATTGCGATCTAACCAGTTGCAGCTCATGTCTTTGACTGACTGCTATAAGACTTTAGAATTGCCTAATAAAGAGTCTATCGTTCAGATTAGAGACATACGTCTATGACGCTTACACAACTTCAGAGAAAGATTAGATAGGAGATTGTATTTAAAGCTCCACCCAAAGTTGTGTATGTATGGGTTGGGTAAAAATTAATTTATCATGGTGTCAACAAATGCATATATACAAGTCTGTCCTCCTTGACTTTAGTGTCGGACAAACAAAAGAAGAGCCTGAAAACAGCTGATGCTAATGTGGGAGAAACATTGATGTGACAGGAGAACTCATCTAACAGGAATCTAAGTCCGGTAAAAAGAAAAGCAGTTTCCGTCCTGTATACGACATAAAGAGACTAAACTAACGATCGAACAGAGAAATTATTGTCTGCGAAAAGATAGGATCCTCAATATGTTTTCCCAAGGCGCTTAGTGGATTCTAATAACTCAATTCATATCGCCATTCCCATCGGGTATAACCCATTGCCATTGACAAACTTTAATAAATAAATGTCTATCTGTTTTGAATTTTAGATAAATAATTGTGAAATACCTCACAAAATGAAAACAACATTTTTGCGCATCATTGAAATAATTTCTATAATGTAAATAGAGATTATAATCTAGCCGATAAAATCGTACCTCAAAGTACATAAAACTCGCAACAGAGTTGCTAATTCATTTTATGATGCAAATATTTGCTGAGATCTATGAGAATTTCATCAGGTAAATAAAGCGCGACGGTGCCTCTATTTGCGATGTATTTGAAAAAGCGAATGTTAAGGAAGGTTAGTTCGTGTATACGACTCAACCGTTGTAGAATGGCTATCATACGAATCTGGCTATTATCTGGTCTAACTAACAATAAAACTTTTGAGTGCAATACCTTATTCTCCTAAAAGTCGACTTTAAGCCATAGACATAGTATGAAACTTTATAGTTATCCACGATCTATTCACTAAAATATAATTCGTTCAGTTGTGTTAAGGCCAAGTTAAGCTAATTTATTATGTTATACATAAGTATACAGAGTTTAATCCTGAATCATGGACTTGCCTTTGGTCTCTGGCAGGAACAACAAGAAGTAAACAAAAGTTAGAAGACTGGAAGCAGCCGAGAACCACATGGTAATCGATATACCAAAATAATGGAGGAGCAGCGGGAACAATTTCAACGTGCCAAAAACCAAAACACTAAGGAATACCACTGACATGGATGTGGCCAGGGAACGTATCTAAAAGTATTAGAAAAGGATAAAAGGAAAATATCAGAAATAGTTTCTGATCTGTATGGGAAAACATATCTATTGTGCAGAACGCTTATCAATTCTAGTTCCAATTTTAGTTAATTGGGATGAATTCTACCTTAGCTGGAAAGAGTTCCACGAGCACTACGAAGAATAGTCCAATCAGCCCAATGTTGCCCAAGTAGATTATAATTATCATCAGCACTAACGGCACCCAATTGAGATAGCTTACATCGTAGAGCTGGCCAAAGTATGTGAAGCAGCCAAAGACGATGCAGCCCAGAGCCACGCCCAACGTAGATATCAGCATGAGGATGCGACGCCCGATGATGTCTACGAAGATGGTCGAGGTATAAACGCCAACGATTTGCACTACGCCAATAATGATGGTGCAGATATTGACATCCAGGATGGAGCCCGATGCGTCGAATATGGTGGACATATAGTTGATGAAGCTGAATATTCCGCTGAATTGATAGCCCGTGGATAGAACGATAGATGCTGCGAAGGCTTTCAGGGCTGGCTTGGTAACTAAGGTATGTGAAATATATGCAATAATCACGAATAAATATGAATTATCGATGGGCGACTCTTACTCAAGTCCCTATAGGATAGGGCAGTCTGATTCCGTGTCTGCTGCGAATCTATGGCCAAGCGCAGTTCGTCGAAGTTCGCCTTGGAGACCTGCTCCATACCTGCCTTCTGGTTTTGGTAGTATCTAAAGGAGGTTTCAGCTGCATTCAGCTGACTGCGCCTCAGCAGATAGGGCGCCGTCTCGGGCAGGAAGAGATTGGCTGTGAAGTAGGCGATGGGCAAGATGATGGCGAGGAATGGCACAATGTGATAGGCCAGGTAGGTGCTGAGAATATAGCCAACGAGTACGCCCAGGTTGACAGATAGCATGACCATAGAAGTCAAAGAACCCCGAATTCTAAAAGGTATAGAAAATATTTGTATTTACAGATATAAACAAAGAATGCTGAAGATATAGACAGAGAAGATATAGCTACATATAAAGTGATTTAGATTAGGCACTCACCTGCTGTCGGCCACTTCACTGATGTAGATGGGCACTACCAAATAGCCCGCGCCTCCAGTGAAGCCGCAGAGAAAGCGGGCCACGTACAAGTAGTACACATTCGAGGCACAATAGATCAGAATCCAGAGGCACTTAAAACACAATTTATACGACGTTGTACGACTAAGGCGTTCAGGCTCGATAGGCAGTACTTACCGCATAGGGTCCTGCCAGCAGGTAGATGCAAAACTTTCTGCCCATCCGCTCCAGCAGAAAGGCTATAGTTAGGTTGCCCAGGAGACTGCCCAAGCCCAGCATGGAGCCCAGCCAGGAAATCTCTGCGATGCCCACCTGGAAGTCGAGGGGCGTGTCGGGTGTCTGGATCTTGCTCAAGGTCGGCGATAGCCAGCCAACGCCCACGCCATGGCCAAACGTTATGATGTTGACTAACCGAATCTCGAGTTAAGGCTCAGACTTCCTATGTCTACCTGTGCCACGACTTACCTATGATGGTGGCCAGCAGTTGGTAACGCGTCCTCGCATTCAGCAGGGAATACTGCTCTAGTTTCGTCATTGCAATTGATGACTGGAGACGTCTTAACAGTTGCACTGCCCGCCGAATAATGCGACTTCGGGCAGATGGAGAAGAGCTTTATTGATATTTCGCTGATTATTAAGCTTTTATTGTTATTTGATTATTAAGCTTTTATCGTGTGGACACAGTCTATTGCGTACATATTGCCAGCTGTCAGACTCTTCATCACAAAGGTGGTAGATCATATTAGAAATATGTATGTGTACCTGGCCTTGTCAGACAATGCTTAATGGATTAGATGAGGCCGAATAAAGATAAGATGACAAAGCGAGCGTCGATTGTCTAAGGAAAGTCACGAAAGTCGTGAATGATAAAGATTACATTACATGTGTCTATTTTCCAGGTGTTACATACCGCCTAAAAAGGAGGCTTGTCTCTCCATGGCGATAGGGTTGCCAAGCCCAATCAACACCGTAGGTGAGCTATGTCCACGTAGGAATAGACAGACTCGCGCACTTTCCTAGATCAATAACAGAATGATTTCTCGTCCAATGTAAATATATTAATAATGCGCAATATTAACTCTGCTTCATTTATAATCTATTTCATTTTATGATTTCAATATTTTTGCTATCTCAATAGGGTAAACAAATTTTCTCTACTGGCTTTGTTCTCAGACATAGTTAAGGAAGGTCAGCTCGCATTATTCTATTCGACTATAATTTAGTCGTACTTAAGACATTTTGCGACCGAACCCAGAGTCAATATTGTGTTCGCCTGAAAGTCGAATTTAAAATTCACTATCGAGCATGGGTCGAACGACATATCTGCCTCCCACTTGTAATGCGAGTCAGAAAGCGATTAAGTCATGGCTAATGATCATTAATTTAGCAATGAATGAATCATTATCGGGGTTCAGGTGTTAGGTGATCCATAACATGTGAAACGACATATAACACAAGCAGGCGTGTCTGTTGCGATAAGGCTGTTTGCTGGGTAAATCAATTTGTTAGTGTGGGTGTCCATTGAAAAACGCATATAAGTAGATTGCATATAGGCGGAACACAATCGAAACAATCTGATTCCCTGTTAAATCGTTCGTCCCTAATGCATCTGCGCAAACGCAATATATAAAAATGCACAAATAATATCCATTCACAACTAACTATATATTCGCCAAAATGGCTTCAATTGTCTTGCCCTTCGTCTCGGGCACAAAGATGGCAATGAACAAAGCCCCGGCGAGGGTGCAGCTGGCGAAGAAGAGCACCGTCCCATGCATGCCCCACGTAGCGGTGAGCAGCGGAATGAGCTATAGGGATAGAAGAAATGCTTTAATCTTATTTAGGAGACAAATATTCGCAATCTACCTTAATGGCCAACATGGAGAGCAGCCAGAGAATGGACATAAGCACCATAATGGCGGTGCTGCGTATCTTCGGGGGCAATATCTCCGAGATGACCAGAAAAGGCAGCGTCAACAGGCCCCACGAGGCGATGAACAGCATGAATGAGAACGCAGCAACGGGCACCCAGTCAAAGCCGGACGTGTCGTACTGGAGCACCTTCAGGTAACTGTGACTGGCCATGATCAGCTGACTCAGACAAATGCCAACCGCGGATACGAGCAGCAGGACCTTGCGACCTGCGCGCTCCACCAACAGAGTGGACACATAGGAGCCCACCAGCTGAATGACGCCCACAACGATGGCGGAGACAGTGGGCGGCAGACTGGACCCGGATTTCTCGAATATCATCGCCGTATAGTT